TGATGTTGACACCGCGGAGATGATACTTCCGTCTGTTGATGCCTTTCAAGTTCAGGCCTCGGGCATGACACTGCAGGAGCTCCGCAGCAAGGGAATTAAAACTTCCAGGAGTGTGGACGACTTCTTGGACGCGCCATCGCTTAGTGCTTTCAATGCGCTCACCACCACAGTCCGCAGCACGTTGCGCCTCCATTAATGGGATGCACGGATTTGGTCGCCATGCTATCCTCCCCTGCATCACCAATACGGTACATTTCCTTGTGCTGCATGAGACGGGAGCTTCCAAGTGTATTGGGCATTGCCCAGTCTCGTGGTTCTCCCTGTCGTTCTTCGTGCCAGCGGCACTGCACACTCGCATTATTGCTTGGTAAGTTGTTTGGGACTTCCACACTTGGCCCACCCTGCGGTGCCACAGTCCGGTGGGACATGCATAGAAGTGTGTACCCTAAATCCTAATACCCTACTCAGTACTCCCGCTGCCTATTGCTCGCTCTGCATGACAGAGTGTGCACGCGTTTCTTCCGACCCTTTCTCGCAGCAGGATGTAGACGGGGGTGCCCCCCTTTTCATTAATGAGCGTGGCGGTTATTGGGCCCTCCCCCCGTTGTCGCTTGGCCTTTTGGCCGCTCATTTGTTTGGTTGCCAGGCGACACCTTCCATGACGAAATTTGTCGTCACTTTGGTGCATTTCCTTTGTGGCCTGAGGTGGGAGCTTCCAAGTGTATTGGGCACTGCCCCATCTCGTGGTTCTCCCAACCGTTCTTGGTGCGGCACTGCACGCTCGCACTGTTGTTGGTGAATGGTTCTGTGCTACTACACTTGGCCCACCTGCAGTGCCATAACCTGGTAAGACATGCATTGAAGCGCACCCCAAACCCTAACACACCACTTGGTAATCTCGCTGCATATTGCTCGCTCTGCATGGCAGAGTGTGCATGCGTTTCTTCCGGTAACCTATCTCGCAGCAGGATGCAGAGGGAGGTGCCCTCTTTTCATTCATGAGCGTAGTAGTTATTGGGCTCTCCCCCTGTTGTCGCTTGGCCTCTTGGCCGCTCGTTTGTTTGGTTACCAGGCGACACCTTTCATGACGAATATTGTCGTCACTTTGGGGCATTTCCTTGCGATGCATGAGGCGGGAGTTTCCAAGTGTATTGGGCACTGCCAAATCTCGTGGTTCTCCCTGCCGTCCTTGGTGGTAGCGGCACTGCACGCACGCATTGTTGCCTGGTGCATTGTTCTGTGCCTCCGCACTTGGCCAGTTCGTGCCGCAATCTGGTAAGGCATGCAGATCAGCGCACCCTAAACCCTAACACACCACTTGGTAATCTCGCTTGAATATTGCTATCGCTCTGCGACTAGCAAACTTGATGGTGCATTGCACGCTCACCCCTTGTCTTGTGTGCAATGCTGGATGGCCAGGCCTGTGACGCCCGTCACATCTGCCTGGCCATATCAACTCCGCTCGATGTTAGTGTGAGGGTAATTCGTTGCACGTCCTCTTTTTGCCTTTGTGCTCCGGGTGATGCCTGTGCACAAATTAATTATTGCATGCTCGCCTTTTGCTGGCCCTTGCTTGGCCCCTTTTGCCTTCTTCTTCCGTGTGTTGCTTCGCCTATCTTTTGGAACAATGCGCTCTTTGCTCCGACCGTGTGGCCACGTGTGGGGGTAAACGATGCGCAAATGTGCCCCCTGCGGTTTGGAGCGCGCATGTTCCTTTTTAACGTGCTCATGCTTCACAGGCCTAGCTCTTCGGTGTAGTCAGTGTCTTTTGGAACTATGTTCCACGATCACTTTTAACTGCCGCGTTGGCTCGTCTCTTTCCGTTTTGCTCGGCTGGGGAATGGTTTTGCGTTTGGTGCCTCGTTGTGTTGTTTGGCGGTTTGTCGCGTTGTGTCTTCGGTTTCTTTTCTTTGTTTTGCTCATTTCACCAGCACTTTGTCCCTCTCGGTCTCACCCGTCTCACTCTCGATGATTGTTTAGTCGTTCTCGTGACCGATGGCTTAATGCCCCAAGGCGCGCGTGTGACAAAAAAAGCGCACTTTTGCACCCAAAAAGCGAGCGGTGACGAAGCGGTGACAAGCGGCGAGAGTTCAACGGGCTGGAATTCGCAGGCTTTTCGGGGCAGAAAACGGAATTCGGAGCACGGCGAACGCCTGGAGCCGGTTTTCGGCGGAAAACAAGCGAACTTGGAGGCTCGGGCCACTTTCGACGTCTGACACGAAAAAACGCACTTTTCGCCGTTTTCAGCGCTTTTTGCACCAAAAACGGAGTGGTGACAAAGACCGGTGACATCGGAAAAACGTTCAGCTGGTTGGAGAATTTGGCTGTTTTGCAGGGTTTGGGGACCAAAAAACCAAAATAATTCGGGGTGTAAAAGCAGACATTCCTTACTACTCACAGCGCCTGCAAAGTCTGCACGCTGCCCGCAAAGGCCTGCCTCACCGGCACCACGTGGTCCAGCTCGCAGGTGCCGGCCGTCAGCCCGCAGCCGCACAGCGCGCACTTGCCTTCCTGCGCGGCCAGGGTCTTCTGCCTCTCCGCGCGCCGGGCACGTTTCGCCTTAGCAGCTCAAAAAAATCTCGTGCGCCAAGCCGGCCAGGCGCTGGCCTGTACTCCTGGTTGAGCGCCTCGCACCACCTGCGCAGCACCTCGTGCTCCTCCGGCAGCTGCCTCAGCCCGCAGTACTGGCCGGGCTGCTGATGGCCACCTTGGGGCTCTCGCCGGCGGCCATGAGCTGGCGCCCTCCCGCAGGTCCTCGCACCAGAACAGCCCCGGCTGCACGTCCGCGGCGTCAAAGCGCCTCCACTCTTGGATGGGCGGCAGGGTCTTCGCCTCGCCCCGGAGAGCACGCGCGCCGCCTGCCGCTCCAGCACCCGCTTCACGGCCCTGTACATGTAGCAGTGCCCGTCGAAGGCCAAGAAGCACACGGTGCGGTGCGGTCGTCCCTGCGAGCTCAGCACGCGCATGGGGGCGTTGCGCCACACGCAGAACTCTCGCACCTCCTCGGCGAAGATGCCAAGGCGCCTCCAGTCGTGGCGCAGCATGGCGTCGAAGTCGGCGCACACCTCCTCCACGCTCAGCTGCAGCAGCTCGGCCAGCTGCCGGCTCGGCAGCACGTCCTCCAGCGGAAGCTCACCTCCTCAGGCCCCTCATGCGCTGGCGCAGGAGCGTCTCCACCTCGGTCCTGGAGTTCCTGTAGTGCGTGCTCTGGGTGCTGACCACCCAGTGCCCCTCGGGGTCGAGGAAGTAGGTCTCGTCCGAGAGCTGCAGGATGGGGCCGCCCGGGTCCAGCGAGGCTCCACTTGTTGCCTGACCCGCTGCGCCACCTGCTCCTCCGGAGGTGGGCCGGGTGCCTCGTCATGGCCCCGCCCAGCTCAGTCCCTGCGCTTGTAGCCCGCGCCCGCGTCCGCTAACCAGCACAACCCTGCGCGCTGCCCCGCTGATCATATCGGAACGTGGGACCCAGGAACCTGCAGTACTTAGCGCGGAAGTAGGCCCCTTGCCCACCTTGGGTCAGCCCGTGCTCTCCGCCTGCAAGGAAGCGTGCACCGACTCTTCTGCCCGTATTGCGCAGCAGGATGTAGTCGTTGGGCCCCTCGCGGATGAGGGGCTGGTTGTAGTCGAAGTCCTTGCTGGGAGGCCGCAGGCCCAGGTGGGAGTGGTAGTGCTGGCCCGCCCGGGTCAGCTGCCCGTCCGCGCGCGAGAGCAGCGCTAGGCCCCCGGTCCGCGCCGCAGGTTCAGCATCTCGCCCAACTTGCCATTTTTTTACGGGGCCAGTTTTTTTTTGGTGGGCCGCGCATTCTCCGGATCTCTGCAGATGGTCGGGGAGCTTGTTTCGCACGGTTTTGCGCTGAAAAAATGCTATTACTCCAGGGTGTACATGTATGTACGGTGGAGTACTAGCTCGTTTTGCACGTTTTGCGCTGAAAAAAAAATGCTATTACTCTAGCCCGCGAAAAAACCGCACGCGCGCCGCTCCATGCGCCCCCGTGACTCATGCAGGACTATGTAGGACTCATGTAGGACTCATGTAGGACTCATGTAGGACTCATGTAGGACTCATGTAGGACTCATGTAGGACTCATGTAGGACTCATGTAGGACTCATGTAGGACTCATGTAGGACTCATGTAGGACTCATGTAGGACTCATGTAGGGACTCATATAGGCAGATGCCCCAGAGAATGTGCGGAAGCACGGCGCGAGGGAGTGCCGAGAGTGTGGAGGAAAAAAAAAACTAGAAGAAGCATCAGAAAAGCATGTTTGTCAAGCATGAGGTAAAAAAACAAGACCCACAAAAAAAATCGCGCCTTTTTACGGCCCGTTTTTTGGCGGTGATTTTGCATTTTTTTGGGGTATCCAAACAAGCTTGGTAGGGGGGCGCGCGGACCGACAGCCGTGTGTGTTGAATTTTGCGATCTTTGTGACTTGTGTGTCCGGTTGACGAGTTGTGAGATTGTGCACGCCGCGGGAGCCATTTTGGCATTGCATAGGCGGGTAGGAGGGCGTGGCTTGTTTTTTCGCGACTTGTCCGGGGTCAGGGCCCAAGTCCGGATGAGGATGGATGTGCTTGCTGTTGTGCGAATCTTAGGTCATGAAACGTGCGCCGAGCAGGAGCCCCCAGATGCCGAGCCCGAACCAGGACGGTGGTGGCGGGGGTTTGCTGGGGCGGGGGGCCTTTGCGGCGAGGAGGTTGGAGAGCAGGCGAGCTGGGAGGGCCCAGCACTCGTGCTGCCCCCCGGCTGTGGCCAGGCAGGGACGCTTTTTTTTCTCTTCGCGAGCTGTGTTGAGGGGTTAGGCAAACGTCGACGCTTGCCAGGCACAGGCTGACAGAGCCGGTGGAGGCGGTGATCAGGCGCATTTGTTTTCTTTCATCTCCGGCAACACGCCGTGCCTGGAGCAGGTGGACAGATCCGGCGGTGGTGAGCGAACCCGTGGAGGGGCCGATCAGACACATTTTTTTCATTTTTGGCAACTCGAGTTGTGCGCTCTCCGTGCCAGGAACAGACGGGCATATCCGGTGGAGATGGTGGTCAGGCGCATTTTTCTTTCATTTTGGGCAACGCGAGTTGCGCACACCCCGTGCCTAGGTGGACAGATCCGGTGGAGGTGGTGGTCAGGCGCATTTTTTCCTTTCATTTCCGGCAACACGAGTTGCGCGCTCTCCGTTGCGCGCTCTCCGTGTCAGGAACATGCGATCAGATCCGGTGGTGAGCGAGCCGGTGGAAGCGGGGATCAGGCGCGTCATTTCTTCCATTTCCGGCATGAGTTGCGCACACTTCGTGCCTAGGTGGACAGATCCGGTGACGGCGCGCGAGCCCGTGGAGGTGGTGATCAGGCGCGTCATTTCTTCCGTTTCCGGCATGAGTTGCGCACACTTCGTGCCTAGGTGGACAGATCCGGTGACGGCGCGCGAGCCCGTGGAGGTGGTGATCAGGCGCGTCATTTTCTTCCGTTTCCGGCAACGTGAGTTGTGCACTCTCCATGCCTGGAACAGGTGGTCAAATCCGGTGGAGGTGGCGCAAGGCGCAGGGGGCAGCCTAAGCCAAGGGCCAAAGGCAAGTCCCGGGCCGAGCCTGAGAACCCGACGGAATCTTGTGTCTCCTTCAAGATTTCCGATTTCATCGACCCTGTGTTCGTTGCGGAGCTGGGCAAGATGCCCCTGTCGTTGTACGCCGACACCCGCTTTGCTGACAACCGCAAGCATGTGCAGGGCTTTGCTTCTCTGCGGCTGGCCTGCTGTCAGGTGCTTGAGCGGAATGCTGCCTCCGGAGGCTCCGGCATTGAATCATGGTACAAGGAAGACAATCTTCTGACGCTTGCGCAGAAGAAGGGGCGCGCCTGGTCAGGGATCAGTGCGATGACGGAGGACGAGGCGGAGAGCCTTGGTTTCAAGTGCTCGTCAGGCTATGACGCCACCAGGTCCGCCTTCACATACCGCAAGGATGTGAAGGAGTTGCTTCGTGGTGGGCTGGAGAACGGCGACTTCATCCGCGACTACGACATGAAGGCCAGCTTCCCAGCCGCCTTCTTGGAGAGGCCCCTCACTGCTTTGGGTCGGCAGATGGGTCAACGGGTCCTTCATGGACACGCTGCCGGGCATGCCTCGCAGTGTGGCGAAAGGCTCAGCAACCGGGCGATGGGGCTTGGAGAAAGCGCAGTGGTGCGATGAGGCCGGCGTCACAACCCTTCCAGAGCCGCTGCGGATGTACTGGCAGGAGATCAGGACCGGCATGGGGTTGGACGTTGAGAGGTTCCCAGAGTTGGCGAGGAGGCTGGCCTTGAGCGGCCGGGAGGGGCAGGCGCTCAGGGATGCAGTGTGCTACGTCCTGAACAGCGAGTCCGAGCGTCGCCACTTGGATTCTGCCTCGCAACGCATCAAGCGCATTGCCAAAGTGCGTTGCTGCGAGCTGGACGGCCTGGTCGTCGAGCGACATCCGGCATCCACGTGGGAGCACATCGAGGAGGCCCTCGGCGACCGCTTTGCCTACAAGCCATATCGCCCTCGGGCCGAGCTTCTGCAGACTGTGGCCCACGCGGCCGGACTAGAGATGCACCTCGCATTGTGGCCGGCATCTTTCAGGTGGGAGGAGGAGGAGCAGTACGCTATCCAGTGTGCGCGGCGACTGAAAAATCCGGACTGCGCTCCGCCAGTGGTTTGGTTGGCCAGGACACTCACGACGCGACTGCTCCAGCCTGGTGTGCTGCTGAGAGACAAGTACAAGCGCCTTGACCAAGCTTAGATACTTTTTTCCTTCTTGTTCCCACACATGATACAACTGGATTGGGCGGTACTCTCAAACATCTGTCGCAGGATCTCGCCGTGCGCCGGCAAAGCCTTGGACTTCTTCAAGTCCAAGGTTCTCCCGAACAACATGGTGTGGGAGTTGTCACACGGTCAGATCGATGACGAGCTCGAGTGCAACATGGTGCGGGCGCTGTGCAGCCTGACAGGGGTTGCGGAGCTGGACGCCCCTGATGCGTTCGTGACGGGCTCGCTGACCCGCAACATCGCAAACCGCTTGGCTCAGCCGCTGTTCGATGGGCGGTTCCTGGAGCGAGTTGATGGCGAAGGCACTTGGCAGCTCGTCACGTTTGCGTGCGGCACCACCCTCAACATCAGGACCGGTGAGGTCGGATCCGCCTCGGCCCAGCAGTGCATCAAGCGCCACCTGGACTACGCGTATCCCGAGGAGCAGTTGGCCGCGATCGCTGCAAAGGAGCAAGAGCTCGGGACGAGCTGCCTGGAGGTCTTCCGGGAGATCGTCGAGTGGGAGGGCCACCCGCTGAACGCCGAGGTCGCCGTGTACCCTGAGTCCATCCGCAAGAAGCTGGAACTGCTCACCGACGAGATTCCCCACCTCCGGTTCTTCCAGCTGATGCACAACAGCTTCACGCCCCGGTACGACCCAGCGGAGTGCCCGCAGCCGGAGGAGCATGGTGGGTGGCAGGCGACGGTCTTCCGGACCATGAAGGCCCTTGGTGCTTGCCTTGGCGTTAGCCACGAGAACTCTGTGTTCGACTTGGGAGAGGAGGGTGACAACGGCAAGGGGGTCCTTGCAGCTGCCTTCCGCTCGGTCTTCGGCGGGTACTACGAGGAGCTGCCCGTCCAGGTTGTGTCAAAGGACATTCCCAGCGGATCCGCGGCCTCGCCTGAAGTCTACAGGCTGCAAGGCGCCCGCTTTCTGGGCACCCCGGAATCCGAGAAGTCCATTGCCATCAAGAGCATCTGGGTGAAGCTGCTGGCGGACCAGAGCACCCGCTGGGTTGCCCGCACCCTTTACAAGCAGGAACACGAGTTCAGGATCCCTGCCCTGTTTGCGCTGTCCACCAACCTGAAGATCAACTTCACCAGCATCGACTCCGGCGTGAGGCGCCGGTTCATCGGCTGCTCGTGGCCGGTCTCCTTCAAGTTGGCTCCGGTTGGGCCGTTCCAGAGGCCTCGCATCCAGGAGGACCTCAAGAGCGGGGCTTTCTACACCACGGAGTTGAAGGCGGGAATGATCCACGTGGCCACTGCAGCCTTCCAGGCATTCTGCACTGGTGGAGGTGGTCGCCTGGAGCGGCAGCCGGCCGTCATCAAGAGGGCCAGCCAGATCTTGCTGAACAGCGAGTACACTGGGTTCATGCAGATGTTTCTCAATGAAAGCACGCAGCAATGCATTGGCAAGGAGGCCACGCCAAAGGTGGCGGCGCTGAAGCAGTACATAGGCGCCCAACTGCCGGAGGAGAAGCTGAACGCGACTGCTTTCAGCCAGTCGCTTGATGCGCTGTGCACGACCAAAGTGCCATATGGCACCACAGAGCGCTTGATGTTGAACATCACGCGAAAGTACGTCCGCTTCGTTGGCCCCCCGTGATTTTTTTTTGCCGTTTATGTCATTGGTTGAAGAGAGCATTTGAGATGTGTCGGAGCGCCAAAACAGGGCTGGGCACACGAACAGGCACAGATGCGACTGCCGCGTGGCAAAAACGGTCGGGGTGAGCTTGTGCGTGGATTGATTTGCTACAGTTTGCGGTCATGCGGCATCCTTACACACAAGCCCTGAATGAGTTTTACATCGCATGTGCTGCTCCAGCGGATTTTGTTCTAGACGTCAGATGAGAAGCATTACCAGGACCTTACCAACAGTGTGTAGCCTTGCCCATCCAGCATTCATGTTCACAAAAGCTGTCACATGAGCTGTTGGATTTATTCATTCCAGACATGTCAGCCGAGAAGCCCTGCCAGGACCTTACAAACAGTGTGCAGTATTGCCTACCCAGCATTCATGTTCACGAAAAAGCTGTCAAAATGAGCTTTTTTTTATTCTAGACATGTCAGCCGAGAAGACCTGCCAGGACCTTACAAACAGTATGCAGTATTGCCTACTCAGCATTCATGTTCATGAAAAGCTGTCAAAGGAGCTTTTTTTCTCAGAAGAACTCCCAACCCCACCACCAAAAACCGAAAGTGTTTGCGAGAATCCCGGAGTCATTGGTTAAACGGATGGACGTGAATTGGATTCCTTGCGCGTTTTCAGGTCAAAGATGTTTTGACAAACGCAGCGACCTCAGCTGCATCACAGGAGAAGAGGATTTGCATCAGCTCTAGTTTGCCTTTGGAAATGTTGATCATGCTTCGCGGGGAGGTGGATGGCCTCAAGAAAGTCCTGCGCTTAAGAGCTTGGGAGCCTCGCTTGAACTTTCCATTCTGAGCTGTTTTGCAGAAGGGCGATGACGAAGATTGGAGTTTTGAGTGTCCATTTTTTACACTTTTTTTGCTACCCATGGGATCATGGAGGAAAGGGGATTTCGCTGGGAATGTCCGAGCTGTCCCAACAGGAGCTGTGGAGACAGTTCGTTGCAGGCCTGGTGGTTTCGCGCATTACAAACTCTAGCAATGTGAGTCTGTCAGCTGAGAGACCTTGCCCGAGCCTTGCCAACAGTGTGCAGACTTACCTGCCCAGCGAGTCCTACATGAGTCCATGAGTCGTACATGAGTCGTACATGAGTCGTACATGAGTCCTACATGAGTCGTACATGAGTAGTACATGAGTCGTACATGAGTCGTACATGAGTCGTACATGAGTCCTACATGAGTCCATGAGTCGTACATGAGTCGTACATGAGTCGTACATGAGTCGTACATGAGTCCTACATGAGTCCTACATGAGTCCTACATGAGTCCTACATGAGTCCTACATGAGTCCTACATGAGTCCTACATGAGTCCTACATGAGTCCTACATGAGTCCTACATGAGTCCTACATGAGTCCTACATGAGTCCTACATGAGA